AAAAAAAAAAAAAAAAGAAATGGGTACCTCTAAACCATCACAAGTAGTCCACAGTGATCACCCTTCACCCCAAACTGATCTATCATTAGTAGATTAAGAACTTTGGTTGCTAGTATTCTCACATGGTCTTAAGATTGGCTCTTAAATGCTCCTTTCAATCAGGGTTTTCTTTTGTGCCCCAGAGCCTCTATTTTATGATCAACTCTCATGGTCCCTCAACATGTTAAAAAATAACAGGGGCTGGGGATTTAGCTCAGTGGTTCTGCCACCTGCCCCTCAAGTGCAAGGTCCTGAGTTTGATCCCTGGTACCAAAAACAAACAAACGAAGAAAAGGTATTATAACAGATAAATACTATTGGCAGTGATTCTCTGTGCATATTAAGAAATCTAAGGACATCAGAGCATGTGCTTCAGCTGGAGGTTAACATTTAAAACTATAAAATGAAATTTTATCCAGAGCTAGAAGAACCAATCCTTCCTTTCCTCATTCACTGTTCAATAAGGTATATGGTAAAAAAAAATTTTTTCTATAGTACTAGGGATTGAACCCAGAGCTTACACATTGAACTACAACCCCAGCCTTTTCAATTCTTGCTCTGAGGCAGGGTCTTGCTAAGTCCCTAAATTAATTGCTCAGGCTGGCCTTGTAATCCTCTTATCTCAGCCTCCAAGAATGCTGGGATTACAAGCATGTGCCACCATGTCTAGGATTAAATTGGATATCCACACATAGAAGACTGAATCTAGAACCATTTATCTATAATATACTAAACAAGTCAATATGAATGAAACAAGTCAATATGAATCAAAGATCTAAATGTTAAGAGAAATATTTAATCTGCTAGAAGATAAATACTACAGATAAAACTTTTGAAGATAAAAGCATAGGCAAGGACTCATTGAATACAACCCCAATGGCACAAAAAATATTACCAGTAATCTATAAATGAGATGATAGCAAATTTAAAAGCTTCTGCACAGGAAAGGAAACAACCAACAGAGGGAAGACACTATCTACAGAATGGGAAAAAATGTTTCCAGCTGCACCTTGGACAGAGGACTAATATCTAGAATATACAAAGAACTCATAAAAATTTAGATCTGCCCCAAAATAAAAGACTGACTTAAAAAATGGGTAACTGAAACGAATACACTTCTCAGAAGAAAAAGTACAAATGGCCAATAAATGCATAAAAAATGTTCAACATTACTGGCCATTAAAGAAACACAATTAAAACAACATCGAGATTCCATTTTACCCCAGAAAGAATACCTATCATTAAGAAATCAAGTAACAAATGCTAGGTAGCAAGGCTGTAAGAAAAAGGGAACCTGTCTACATTGTTGGTAGGAATGTAATCTGGTACATCCACTATGGAAATCTTTATGGAGATTCTTCAAAAATCTAAAAACAGAAATTCCTTTAACCCAGCTATTCCCTTTGTAGGTATCTTCCCAAAAGAGTTAAAGACATTATATTACCATGATACTTCCACACCTGTGTTTACAGCAGCACAACTCATAATAGCTAAATCTTGAAAGCAGCCTGTATGTTCATCAACAGATGAATGGATTAAGAAAATGTGGTATTTATACACAATGGAGTACTACTTTGCCATTAAGAAGGATAAACTTGAGTCATTTGTAGGACAATGGATGAATCTTGAGACCATAATGTTGTGAAATAAATCAGATACACAAGCTTAAATATCACATGGTTTCTCTTATATAAAAAATCCAAATTATAAAGAAAAGCAAAATAAAACATAGATAATAGGAAGTAGGAAGATAGATCTTTTGCAAATGGGAAGGATCAAGAGATAGAAGAAGTAGGCAGAGAAACAGGATGAAAAGGGAAATTAATATGTGTTATGTACATGTACAAACTCTCCACAAGGAATGTAACCATTATGTAATGCAAACATGCACTAATAAAAAATAAGAACTGGAAAAAACACATATATGTGTATAGTGAGAAAGTAAAGACTGTCCATGCCTCTGGCATAACTGCACCTGTCCTTATACCTCTGGTGCCATCCATTCCCTCATCTGTCAGGAAAAAAGGGATTTAAAATGTTTCTTGAATGACTTTTCTACATACTGTCATGGAAAGATGTCTAAATTTTGCTAAGATGTCTAAACTTGTTGGAAGCAAGCATGTGATCACATTTTTTGTAAAAATAAAATTATAAATATTCATAAGTACATATCCACATCTCCCCATGTCCTCCACAGTTTCTACAATAATTATATATGGACAGAAAAAAGTCTGAAGGACTTCTAAGCAACATGGTATACTGAGTTGACTCAGCAATGACACAGAAATGATGGATTCTAAAATTCTAGAAAACAGAAAATGAGGGATATACTATACAAGTCATACACTATTTGGTAAAGGAAAAAGAGATACTGAATAATGTTAAATTTTTTATTTAAGTGTTAAAAGTTTAGAAGTAACCATTACAAAAATTAGTGACAGAATAAATAATTTCCAAACCTTTTAGGAAAAGATTGATGAGAATAAGAAAAAACTGATTAATCCAATGAAGACAAGAGAGACCAATTAAAGTATAAAAAAAAGAGAAAATACAAATTAAGATGGTAGAAGTCCAAATATCAGTAGTTACAATAAAGTTACATTAATTACTCCTACTGAAAAGCATAACAATAGTGGTAACTAACATTTACAAGGTATTTACTATGGCTCAAGTACTATTCTTGACATATGAATTCCATTAATCCTCATACCAAGTATACAATGTATATGCTATTATTATCTGTATTTTATAAATCAGTAAATGAGGCTAATAAAGTCACCAGGGAAAGTGGCAAAACTAGTATTTAAATTATGAAAGTCAGGCCAGGTGTGGTGGTGCATGGCTGTAATTCCAGGTCTCGGGCAGGTGAGGCAGGAAGATCACAATGAGTTCAAGGCCAGCCTGGGCTACATCTGAGTTTAAGGCTAGTCTGAATCACACAGCGAGATGCTGTCTCAAAAATAAATAAATAAATAAATAAATAAATAATAAATAAAGGAAATTCACCTTTAGAGCTGTATGATTAGTCTAATAGGCTGGTAGCTTATTGGAAGTCCATTTTATCCTTAAGTACATGCAACATTTACTTATTAACTACAATATTAAGATATAATGGGGGGGGGGCAGGCATGTAGTTCAGTGGCACCGTGCCTGCCTAGCAAGTGCAAGGTCCTGAGTTTGATTCCCAGTACAGAGGAAAAAAAAGACATAATTTTGGTTATATTTCCAATTTTGCTACAGCATTATTTCTGCACTTCTTTTCCCTTCTCCCTTCTTTGCCTTTAATCCATCCTTCCAGCCTCTACAACTTTTTTCCATACTCACTCAAACATTTAAACATATTTGTTTACAAGGTGGGAGGTTACTTTTACCCAAATGGAAACTACTTCAATTTGTTTTTCTCTCAAGAACACACAGTGGATATCTATCCCAAAGCGATGTGGAGCTTAACTTATCCTCTAAAAAGAACTACTTCATGACAGGTTATAGTTTGAATATAACACAAATTAACTGTTATGCCATGCGAGCGAGAAAATCACCAAACACTGGGACAAAGACAAAGTTAAAACTGAAAGGAGTTTATTCACGCACGTGGACTTCACCCTCTAAAAGGAGTGAAGCCCTGAAGCAGGGAACAGCACAGCTTTTATAGGTAGCTCAAACAAAGAAGTTCAGGGAGAGGGCAACATGTTTTTCAACCAGTTGCAGAATATTTTTCACATCCCAGCTATCTTATCAAGACAGGACATTCTGTGGTTACAGGGTTCAGTGGTTACAGGGAGGCACCAGGCACCATCTGTTTCCAGGGAGCAATAAAGCATGTTCACAGAAGCAGAGCAAGCAGTTAGAAAAACATCTTCAGGGGAATTCCAACACTCTGTAAGGGGAGGGGCACAAGGGGAGTTCACTCACAGGCCAAGATGGCGTTTCTTAGGTTCACTTTGGTCTCACATTCCCCACTGGTTTTTGTACAAAATCAAACCTTTGATTCATTTCTGTCATATTTTTCCTCAGGGAAGGGTTCATACATTTGATTCAGCAACATCATCCTTACATTATCTACCTATTTGGACACATATCCGGTTATGCGTCTCAGCATGCAGGGTCCCACTATTACAATTATCATGATAATTACTAGGGGACCTGCTACAGCAGATAGTAGGGTGGTCAACCAAGGGGACCAACTGAACATAGATTGGTACCAATTTCTTTCCCTATTTTGGTTTCAAAATTTATTTTTGACATTGTCTCTGACCCTGGCTAATGTTTGTCTGATAACACCGGATTTATTTGCATAGAAACAGCAGCTTTCCCCTAGAGCGGCACATAATCCTCCCTGTTTCATGAACAATATCTCTAGACCTCATCTGTTTGGGAGAACCACCTCTGCTAAAGAGCCTACCTGATTTTCTAGTTTAGAAATGGAGTCTTCTAAGTACCCTATGTCTTGGGAGACTCAGTGGCTGAGCTGTTTGAAGGCCGAATCTTGGAGAATCAGAGCTGAGGTCCCCACGGCTGAGGTCCTGCTATACCTGCTGTGAGTAAAGCCAGGATGAGGACAGTCACAGGACCGGCTCATCTTATATGAGAGTAGCCCAAGAGGTGGTCCCGCCCCGCTGTTCCATCAAAATAGAGCACGTGAGGCATGAGGCTTACCAGGTAACAAATAGAGTGGTTGTGTTCAAACTGATTTCCTATGATACACTTAGTCAGTCCCAGATTATAAGCCCACCAGGTATTGTTAGGGGCAGAATAAGTTTTAGATGAGTCAGGTGTTATCCACAGACTACAGATAAGATTTGATGTTAAGTCAGAGGTCTGGTCAAAAGTCGATCCAGCCAAACAGGTCCCCATCCCTTGTATTGATTCAAGAGTTACCTTGGGGGCTTCCCAGGAACAGAAGCCAGTCTCATTTACAGGGTGCTGGACGGCGATGCCAATGTAGAAAGGGGGGGTAGGGTCTAAGCACAATCTCGGGCAAGGTCAGGGTCAGTCTGATTGAGCACTTGGTGAACCAGGGAGAGCATAGTCATTAAGGGGGTTTGGGATTGTCTGTGTCATGTTTTTTTGTGATTGTTTCAGGGGGTCTGGTGTCTCTATAGGGTAGGGTTTGAATATGTCAGTGCTTGGCCCTACCGGCTGAACATCTGGAGACCTGGTCAGGGAAGTCCTTCGCAGAAAATAAGGCTCCCCTCTTTGTATGGTGAAAAGGGTTCCTGGGTCCCTGCCTGTAACGTACAGCTGGAGTGCCCACATCATTCCTGTTAGCCAATTAACCTTTTTTGGGTCTAGTATTTTGATGGTAATGGGATATTTAGCCTCATTACCTGGGTTAGCAGTGGTGTGGGTGATCGTGATCCAGATATCATTTTTCCAAGGGGAGACCAACTCACAACCCCAAGCTGCACAATGGCCTGTCTCCCCACCTTTGCAATTTGTGTCTAGATTATAAGCCCCACAAGCATAAAACTGTAGTGGGCCAGTGGACTTCCCACTTTGTCTTATATATATGGCTTCTCATCTTGGGCACCAGTGGTGGGTGCCCGGAATGGAGCGGGTAAATAAGGCACAAAGGGTAGTGTTAAAAGAGACCGACTGGGTTGTTTTGAGAAGGGTTAACTTTTGTATAATGGTGCCTTCCTCAGAATGTCTCAACTCCCAATCTATTACTTTTGGGATATAGGGATTTTTGGCAGTCCTGGGAGGAGAGGTGGCTGTTGGGGAAACAACTGTCACAATAATCAAGAACAAAATCATCAGAATCTCTTTTCTCATCCCAGTCTTATCTTGACGTCGTCTGGTTGACTGATGATCCTCCATTTGTCCTCCAGGGTGTCCTCAGGAGCTGCTTTGATGTGGCAGTGATGTATCCACAGTGTTTTCCCTGCGGCCTTTACAGCAGATGGTGTCGTCAAGATCACCTGGAAAGGTCCTTCCCAGTGTGGCTCCAGAGCCTTAGACGAATGTCTCTTTATCAGTACCAGATCTCCAGGCTGAAATTTATGGTGGGTGACATCAGGTCAAGGGGCTAGCCTGACCTCCCGAACTCGATTCCACAGTTCCTGTTGGATTACTTGGAGGGCTTTTAAAGAATTTAACAAAGTATGATTTTCACCTTCTGATATATCTTCCAAATTTACCCTGGGCGGTAAGGGAGGTGGTCTCCTGAACATGATTTCATAAGGAGTTAATTTTTCTATATAAGGAGCGCACCTAGCCTGCAAGAAGGCCAGCGGGAGGAGGTCTGGCCAGCTTCCTCCAGTTTCCAAAACAAACTTAGTTAATGTTTCTTTTAAGTTATGGTTCATCCTTTCCACTTGCCCTGAACTTTGTGACCGATAGGCACAATGAAGTTTCCAATCAATGTTAAGGGCCTTGGCCACCAATTGGGATACCTTAGCCATGAAGGCCAGGCCATTGTCAGACCCCAGAGTATGGGGGAGGCCAAATTGGAGGATGAGCTCCTGTAACAACTTTTTACTGACTATCGTAGCTCTCTCCTTTAGTAGGGAAGGCTTCTACCCATCCAGAGTAAGTGTCTACCCAAACCAACAGTTACCTATATTCATGGCTGGGCTTGACTTCAGTAAAATCCAATTCCTAAAATTCCCTGGGATGCTCACCTCAGCGTTGAGCTCCCCCACCTGTGGATGCTGACTTGGCATTTACCTGGGCACACGGCTGGCACCTAGAACAGATATCCTGAACCATGACAGCAAGTCTCTGAGTCAAAAACCTGGAGCTCACTAGTTGTCTGAGTTTTTCTCCAAGGTGAGTAGACTGGTTTATTTGTTGAATTAGCTGTCGGCCAAGAGCCTGAGGCAAGCAAACTCCCAGTCGGGATGACTCCACCATCCATTTTTATCTTTTATAGACCCCACCCGGGCATTTTGTTCCTCTTCCCCTGATGAGTAATATGGCTTAGTTGGCAGCTCAGGAAAACCTTTAAGGAGTGGGGGGGGGGGGGGGCTGTCCCCACTGGTTTTCTGGCAGCCAGTTAAGCAGCTAGATCAGCCTTTTGATTTCCTATGGCCTCCAGTGTGTCGGGCCTCTGATGTCCCTTGCAATGCATTATAGCCACTGATTTAGGCTTCCATACGGCTTCTAGCAAAGCTAAGATCTCATGTTTATTTTTGATGTCCTTTCCTGCTGACGTGTGCAGGCCCCGTTGCTTATATATCTCTTCATGAACATGTACAGTTGCAAAGGCATACCAACTGTCCGTGTAGATATTAACAACCTTTCCTTTACCCAGGTTTAAGGCCTGAGCAAGAGCTATCAGCTCAGCTCATTGGGCTGAAGTTCCAAGTCCTAGGGCAGTGGCCCATCTTGTTACTCCCTGGCCATCTACTACCACTGCCCCCGCATACCTGACTCCTTGTTTGACGAAGCTGCTCCCATCCGTGAAGAATGTTTCTTCAGGGTCCTACAGGGGCACATCCCACAAATCAGGTCTGGTCGTGGTTATGTCCTGGAGGGTCCCTGGCAGTCATGTAGCAGAGTTGTCGGGTCTGAGGCTGGCAGCAGGGTCGCAGGGTTTAAGGTAGTGGCTTCTGTGAACTTGATCCAGGGCTGGTCAATCAGGAGCACCTGATATTGAGTCAGTCTAGCATTTGACATCCAAGGCTCAGAGCCTCCTCGAAGCATGGAGGAGACTGCATGAGGTGCACTAATCATGAGCCCCTGACCCAAGCTTAACTTGTCCTGCTCCTTTATGAGGAGGGGTGTCACTGCGATGGCTCTGAGACAGGGTGGCCAGCCAGTGGCCACAGGATCAAGTCTTTTAGACAAATAAGCCATGGGTCTTTTCCAGGGTCCTAAAGTTTGAGTAAGGACCCCTTTTGCCACTCCGTCTTTCTCAGCCAGGAACAACTGGAAAGGCTTTCTGATGTCTGGTAGGGCCAAAGCTGGTGCCTGAACAAGGGCTTGTTTTAAGGTCTCAAACATCCTCTGTTCGGTTTCTGTCCATACTAAGGGTGTGTTCCCTCTGGCTGTGGCTGCATATAGGGGCTTTGCGATCTCCACAAACCCTATAATCCAGAGTTGGCAGTAGCCAGCAGTTCCCAGGAACTCACGCACCTGTCTTTTTGTGGTGGGTGTTGGGATCTGTAATATAGCTAGTTTTCATCTCTGGAACAATTGTTGGGTGCCCCCATCAATTTTGTACCCAAGATAAGTGACCCAGGAGGCACAGATCTGGGCCTTTTTGGCTGACACTCCATATCCCAATTTCTGTAACAGTCTCAACAAGTCTTTAGTACCTGCCATACAGGTGTCCTGATAATCAGCCGCTACTAGGTCATCTACATACTGCAGAAGGGTCACCTCAGGATGAGACACTCTGAACGGAGCCAAGTCCCTATTTAGAGCCTCATCAAACAGGGTGGGAGCATTTTTGAACCCTTGTGGCAGTCTTGTCTAGGTCAGTTGTCCTGAGTACCCTCCTTCCGGGTCCACCCATTCGAAAGCAAAAAGGGGCTAACTCACCTCAGCCAATGGCAGACTGAAGAAGGCATCTCTGAGGTCCAGGACAGTGCAAACTTGTCATTGCAGAGGCAGGAGGCTTAGCAGGGTATAGGGATTTGGCACAGTGGGGTGTACAGTCTCAGTTCTTTTGTTTACCTCTCAGAGGTCTTGGACAGGCCTGTAGTCAGAAGTACCAGGCTTTTGGACAGGCAGGAGTGGAGTGTTCCAAGGTGATTGGCATGGCTTTAAGATTCTGGCATCTAGAAGTCGGTTGATGTGTGCCCAAATCTTTTCTTTTGCCTCTTTCTTGATGGGATACTGTCAGACAGAAACTGGCTGGGCATTAGATTTTAAACGGATCGCTATTGGAATTTGGTGGCTTGCCAGTCCGGGGGGGTTAGTTTCAGCCCATATGAGTGGAAATTCTTTTTGTAACATTTTAATCTGTCCGAGCGATTCGTCCTTTGGCTCCACGAGTAACAGGTATTCAGAAGTCAATGGACAAGTCACCATAATCTTGATAGTCCCCTGAGGGACGCCTAGTTTTAAATTTGCCTTTTCTTCTGTAAAGGTAATTGTGGCTCCCAATTTTCTCAACAGGTCCCTACCTAGCAGGGGGTATGGACACTCCAGAATCACCAAGAACAAGTGGGTCACCTGCCCATGACCCAAGTCTACCGTTCGTGCAGTTGTCCACTTATAACCTTTTGTGCCTTTGCCAGTAGCTCCAAAGTCTCTTGCTCTGTCAACTTTCCCAAAGGTTTTGTTAGTACCGAATGAGCTGCTCCGGCGTATACCAGGAAATTAATTGGTGTGCCCCCAATTTTTAATTTTACCATGGGCTTGCAGGGGCTCAGTTTGAACAAGCCCTGACCTTCCTATTCCATATACTCAAAGGCCAAAACCTCCTGTGTTTTTTTCTGGTTCTGTCCCTTTTTTTCTTTTTTGAGGGGGCACTCATTTTTCCAATGTCCAGTCTGTTTGCAATAGGCACATTGGTCCCTTCCGAGCTTAGGCCATGGGGGTCTCTCTGGCTTGGGTCTCCCAGTCTGTTTGCTTGTCTCATAGTTTTTGAGAGCAGCAATGATAAACCTTTCTTAACCTCCTGGCGACTGCCTCTTCCGGGGAGTCCCGATTGTCAAAAACCTTTTGTGCTATACTCAGGAGCTCAGACCTGTTTTTTCCCTCAAACCCTTCCAATTGCTGAAGTTTTTTTTCTAATATCTGGGGCCACCTGAGACACAAAAGCCAGATTTATCACAGCTGTGTTTTCTGGAGTATCAGGATTAATAGGTGTATAGACCTGATATGCCTCTAAAAGGCACTCTAAGAAAGCCTCAGGGGACTCCATCTTATTCTGTTTCACCTCACTCACCTTGGTCAAATTAGTCGGCTTCCTAGCCACTTGGCGGAGTCCCTGTAAAAGGTGATGGTGGTAACTGGCCAGGTCTCTCCTATCTGCATCAGTGTTGGGGTCCCAGTCTGGTAGGCGGGTCGGCACTTCAGCCTCTGCTCTCTGCAGATAAGCTGGAGTGCTGGGACCAAGGTCGGGGTTGGGACCTAGGGCCGCTTTGATGGCCTCCTGGAAAATTCAGTCCCATTCCTCTGTGGTGAAGAGGGTATGGAAGAGTTGTTGACAGTCATCCCAGGTGGGCTGATGAGTATGAAAAACAGACTATAGAAAATGAATTAAGGCCTGGGGTTTTTCTGAAAAAGGAGCAATTTGATTTCTCCAATTATAAAGGTCACCGATAGTAAAAGGAACATACATGAATCCCCCACCGGGTTCAACCTGTTTGAAAGGAAGGACAGTGGACGTTACCTGACTGGTCGCCCCTTGAGGCTTGTAAGACTGTCCTGACTGGGTATGAGGGGGAGACAGGAGTAAGATGGTGTGGGTGGGGCAGAGGGATTAGTGGGGGCGGAATCAAAAGGAGAGTCAGGGTCTTCTTCAGGTTCTTCATCCTGGGTCCGATACAGGGGCGGAAGAGGTCAGAAGTTGTCCTTGTCCCACAGAGCCTGGAAAACCTTACGTTTTAAAAGAGGCTTACTAACAAACACATTCGCCGTCTCTCGGGAACTCTGCCATCGGATGAAATGGCGATGGACCTTATTTTTGCTAAACCTAGATGACTGGGCAACTCTCGGACAGGTAAGAAAAGAGGTGGGGTCTTCTACTAGGTCCATCCAAACATCAATATAAGGGAATTGATCCAGGTGATGGGGCCCTCCCTTTCCCGTGACCCGATTCCAAACCTGTCAGGTAGCCTGAATGCTAAAAGTTCCCACACTCAGACATCCCACCCCGAACGACGGCCACTCTAATTGACACAGGGTCCGGAGTTTTCCTTTTGAGAACTTGATGCCAAATTCATGTGCTTTCTGTGGGGTATAAATCTGAGAGAAATGTTGTAACACACAATCAAAGGGGGGTGGAGGGAGCAGATTGTCCGGTTCCCATGGTTTACTGCAAAAAGAGACTGGAAGCAAATGGCACACAGAGCAAGCTGACAGACAACAGACAACAGATACACAGATATTTAGACAGACTATAGCCTTCTCTACCAAAGAGATAAACTGACCAGGGGACTTCCTACCATTGAGGCAAAGTCCCGGGTGTGGGAATTAGCGCCGTGTCCGACTTCCCTTTCGCCCTCTGTAGGATCCACTGACTATTATGAGATTCTCACCTGACCTCTGGAGGTTTTCCAGATAAACTCCCTTCAGGATGGCTGGAACAACCCGAATCCTCTGCTTGGGACCCGAGCTCCCAGGGGCCTGATCAAATGGTCAAGGTGGCCTCCCCGGGCCTATCTTGGGCCACAGCGGCCTGAGACAGGGGCCATCTGCCAGACAGAAGTCACCAAGTGATGGTGACCTCCCTGGGGCCTCCAAAATGTTATGTCATGCGAGTGAGAAAATCACCAAACACTGGGACAAAGACAAAGTTAAAACTGAAAGGAATTTATTCACGCACGTGGACTTCACCCTCTAAAAGGAGTGAAGCCCAGAAGCAGGGAACAGCACAGCTTTTATAGGTAGCTCAAACAAAGAAGTTCAGGGAGAGGGCAACATGTTTTTCAACCAGTTGCAGAATATTTTTCACATCCCAGCTATCTTATCAAGACAGGACATTCTGTGGTTACAGGGTTCGGTGGTTACAGGGAGGCACCAGGCACCATCTGTTTCCAGGGAGCAATAAAGCATGTTCACAGAAGCAGAGCAAGCAGTTAGAAAAACATCTTCAGGGGAATTCCAGCACTCTGTAAGGGGAGGGGCACAAGGGGAGTTCACTCACAGGCCAAGATGGCGTTTCTTAGGTTCACTTTGGTCTCACATTAACCACTCCCTTTTTGGTGGACATTTAACTTACAGGGCAGGTCCTAGGATCGCTGCAACGTCTGAGGGCATAGCTTCCCTGACCTCGTTTTCCACCAATTTCAAGTGAATTTTAACTTGCAGTTGCTGGCTTTGTATTGATTTGTCAAAGAGAAAAACTGAGTCTGAGAGTAAGTTTCCTAAGGCCATACATCCAACAAGTAGCTGGTTCAAAGCACTGGCTCGAAATCTCCACTCTGCTTCATAAACCCATATATACAAGAGTGGATTGTCTCTGACAACATCTAAGCTCAGCCAATTAAGGTTGGGTTCATTTACCCAAAGGCTTTTCCGGGGTCCCAGACCTCGCTAAGCGCCTAGCTCTGGAGAACATCCTACCCTCCCAAGTACCCTAGTTAGTTTAGAAAAGAATCTTCTCCAGGAACTTGGCCCAGAGGCTGGTCGAAAGGCGGACCTTAGTTCTCAAGAGATGTCAGCGACGCTCACATGATTTGAGAGTCCCCGAACTTGGAGAAGCCAAGATCCACCAGGAAACTCAAAAAACGGAAGGAGGGACATGTAGCAGGTACAATTACAATTCTGTAACATAACCAGGAAGGGCCTGGGCGCGACGTGACTCGTTCATAACTAGCAGCCCTACATCAACAAAGAAAAAGAAGCACTTACCGGCAAACTCCACAAGTCTTTTGGGCTCTAGAACTCCCCAAACTCCTCACAGATCATAACCACGTGTCCAGCTCACAGAATTCTTGGTCCTCCCAAACCACCGCCTCCGGTGCAGAGCCAATCAGGAAGCTATACGTTATCACCAAGCGCCAAAAAGAAGCAAAGGTCCTTGGATGCAAGCCCTGAGGACCCTGGGTGTTGCCGTGGTAACTGAGCAAACACATTCAGACTGCGCAAAGCTTTCTGGGAGTAGTGGTTCCGCGCCGCCAGACACTTGCTCTTCTTGAGTGAGTGGAGGAACTACAACTCCCAATACAACCCGGAAGCAGCGTGAGCAGAAGGGCGGTTGTTGCAGCTGTGGCCTCTGTCCGGACTTGAACCTGGAAAATGCTGCTGGCGTCCCAGGAAAGGTCCACTTCAAGGAAGAGCTTGGGGCTGAATCGCTGGAAATGGTTCGCGAGGAAGCAGAATCCCAAGGTGATCCGTATCGGGAGCTTGAGAGGGCAGGGACAGGCCCAAGACGCTGCCTAGTCCCGAATCCAGCCGCTTCCCTCCCACGGTTCCCCCCTCTTCCCTCCAGGGAACCTTTACCTGGCCTTGTCGGCATCAGGTCCAACACTGACCTGAGTGAAGTGGTTCTAGGAGCTGAAGGGTCTGTGTATCTCACGGCTTTGGTGGGCAGCATCATGGAAGAACTGTTTCCATCTAACGCTTTTTTTTAAAACCCGAGAACTCTGCTAATGCCCACCAGGGTGAAGGCAATTCGCGCGCTTAGCCCTCACCCTCTCCTGCCACCAATTTTAGGATACTTCCTGCGTATTTCATTTTTTGTTTTGCAAATCTGGAGCAACTGATTTTTATTGAAAAGGAGAGATCATCACGTTGAGTACTCTGTTTATATCCCCTCCCTTCCAATTTTACATAAACTAAATAAACTCAGCAATCCAAGTGTTTATTAAATATATCAGGACTTGATTCGCATGGGAATTTCTAAATTCAACCATCATTAAAGGGGAAGGGTGTAAAGGCGGGTAATAGGGAGCATGAATGTGATCAAAATACATCATATACATTGAAATCCTCCGGAAAACGTGATTGAGGGAGAGGGAAGAAAGGTAATGGGGGGAGGGTGATTAAAGTAAGTTATGTGCATGTTCCCCCCAAAATCCTCTGTATATCTGTTACCTCTTTTAATGCACTAGCTCCTGATGACACGAAAAAATAACCTTATTTTAAACTTGAAACATATACAAAGTCACAGTCACACTTTGTATGCCATTCAGACTACCTTTTTAACAGTCACAAAAATAAACGCTATAGATGTAAATGAAAGCACTAAGACAGAGAGGCTTCTTAGCTTTGAGCTTCAGAGCAGTTTCATCAACTATTTTCACCTTTCAGTTACACTTTGCTTAAAAAAATCCTGTAGATGAGTGGCCTTTGCGAGGTTCCCGTGCAATTGTTCTCGTGGTTTATTCTAAAATATACCAACTACAGGCACAAGACATATTCCACTTAGTGAATATCTTGCTTCAGATACTGAAGGGCTTACCCTGGGGCATTAAAGAAACTTGGAAACTGAGGCTGGTCCTATTGCAATGGATCAGTTGCATAATAGACTGGTTCCAAAATAGCTTATGAACATAGATTTGAAGAAGAAAAGTGAAAAATTGGGACACTCTCTTAGGACTCCAAAAGGAGGGACTTTTGCTGATACTGCTCATTGTTACTGATAGATGATTTAAAAAGTTAAAACGCGAGCTCTTTGAAGTTCAGTTTATTTATTTATTTATTTATTTTGATACCAGGAATAAATTTTTTTTTTTTTATGGTACCTGGGATTGAACTCGGGTCCTTGCGCTTGCGCAGCAGGCGGCGAAACCACTGAGCTACATCCCCGGCCCTAGTTATGTTTTGATAGAATCAGCTCTTTCTTTGTTGTAGTGAAAAAGTTATTCAGTAGTACAGCTTCATTAATTAGTTATCTGTGAGATGCTTTAAGATGAAGTGTTAGGTAAGTGAAAGAGTTTTATATCTTTCCCACCTCTATGTCTTAGTATGCTAGTATAGATATCACCTTATTATAAAAATGCAGCTGAATTTTTAGCCAAGCAAATGTCTCTTTTTTAATTTTTTTTTTTTTTTTTTTTTGTACGGGTGATCAAACTGCAGTGCTGCTTAGCTAATTAGATCCCTGGCCCAAATGCCTCTTTTTAAGAAGTGACTATTTGAGGGAATTCTGCAAGCTTCTGGGAGTTAACAGTAAAGAAAGAAGGTTCTTTAATGGTCTTATTTCTAGTTTTAGATTAATATCAGGGTAGAAAATAATTTCTTTTCTGCTTCATTTTCTGCTTGGTAAAGCAGTAGAAGTCAAATGTTAACTCTTTTCCCAACCCCCCTGTTCTTGTTGACCAAACATATTTCTGATGTGGGAAAAGATGGAAAAGCATCTGGCTACAGGCAACTCTTGAAAAAAGGAGAATAACATACCCTTCCCCAAGCAGAAAATCACTTGGATAGTCTGGTTAATTAGTCAGTGCTTCTTTGGGTTCTTATGAAGAATATTATACACTGGATTTCTGTATCTTATAACCATGGGAGCTTTAAAAAATACTTATGTCTGGGCCCAATCCCAGACCAATTAAATCAGAATGTCAGGTTAGGCCTAGATAAGAAATAATGACCTAGAGACATCTTTAGGCCTCTTTCTTGTATTGTTAGTTTGTGTTCGTTCATTGGTAAATAGTACTGAATTTTCCAGTGAAACATTTTGGGGACTAAAAGGATACTATCACGGGATTTAATCAGAAGGCTAGATTAAGTGGCTAAATTGATAAAGATATTGCTATTAATATTCTGTATATATTTTCTACAGCCTGCTTTTGATCCTGACAATGTGGAGTACTGGTTTAAGGTAAGGATATTTCAAAATTAGGTTAGAAAGAGAATTCAGAGTCAGGCATAATCAGGTGGTAAAGAAATACTAATAGATCTCCAATCTGCACTTATTTTGCTATTTTTACTCCCATGTTACCATATATGTGGCCTCAATTTTATACTTTTTTATCATTTTTTTAATTATTCTGTTGTTTGTCATGAAAGCATTTAAGTGTGAATGATGAGAAAACAGGTATCCCGTGAAGAGGATGAAAAGAACAAGAGAAGAGAAGCCTTCCTTGGAGGTGAAAGACTTTACTATAGTTAACACTGACACAAGACCAATGGGTAGAAGCTACATGTGCATCGCAAGAATTTTCTAATATCTAGAGCAATCCAGAAATGGGGTTAGCATCCTCATAAAGGGATGTTTTCTGTCACTGGAGATATTCTAAAAGGACACTTAATTTTAGGCTAATGAAGGATGTGTTTGAACATTCTGTGAGAGGGGATGGGGTTAGATTACTTCTGAGATCTCTTCCAGTCCTCAGATGTTTATTTCTGAGTCCAGATACCATAGATTGAAAGTACCTTTAAATCACTCCAGGGCTGTGCCTCTTGAGTGTCAGTTTAGCAGCTTGTCATGATCAATTCAAATGTGTACCATATAGTTCAATATCACACAGTATTTTCCTGGGAAAAATATCCTCTTCTAGGTAGTATTTTGAAGAGTTACTACTTACCTAAATTGGCATGCATCGTGAGCATAAAGCCAGATGGGCTGGTATTTATTAAGTGCCTACTAAATACTAGCCAACTACATTGAGCACTAGAACTAAAACAGGACACAGGTCAAGTACAATCCTTGCCTACCCAGAGTTTATGGTCCAGTGGAGTATAAACAACTTACCAAAAGTCAATGGGAAAATTAAAGATGTAACAGAAGCATGTAGTGGGAGGGATTAATCTAGATGAGGCAAGAGAGGCTTCTTGCTACTGCAGAAGGCATGATTCAGGAGACAAGCATGATGAAGGCTGGCCTCTGAGAGGACCATTCAGTATCCAGTAAGCCTAGCTTGCATGTGGTGTTAAGAGTCCCTGTGCCAGGTCCCTCCAGGGCTTTCTGACATAGCTAGTTACCATCTCATCTACAGTAATCTTATAAGATCTAAGTAAAATAGGAGGGCAACATTCTGCTCAGTCCTATTGATATACCATTTTACTGCCTTATATAGTTGTGAGCCAATTTGACTTAGATTTTTATCATTTCCTCAGAAATTCCTATAGTAAGCCAGGGATTTAGCTCAGTGGTTCCGCCGCCTGCCCTGCAAGCACAAGTACCAGAGTTCGATCCCCGGTACCAAATAAATAAGTAAACTTGATCTTAGCTATCTGTATATTAGATTGGCTGGGGATTTAGCACAGTGGTTCCATCGCCTGCCTTACAAGCACAAGGTCCCAAGTTCAATTCTCAGTACCAAAAAAAAAGTTGGATGAAATTCCTATAGTAGCTCTTTCTCCACTATTCCCTCAAATCTCTCATCTCAAAAAAAAAAACAAGAAGTCTTTTATTTGACCATGTGGTCCATTCTGATTGCTGAATGATTGCATTTTCCTATCTAAAGTCTTCAGCTGTGTAGTCTGGATTCCTTGCCTTTGTATTTTAATCAGTCTCCCATGTACACAATTATTTTCCTTCAGTTTCTATTTCTTTGTTCAGTTTCTATCCACAGAAACTATTACTATAAATAACTTCTGACTAAATCCACCAGTTTCTAAGTAGTTCTCAAACTTTTTCAATTTACATTTGATATTTGTATTTCTTTTTCTGAGAAGTGTCTGTAGATTTCAATTGCTTATTTTTTATTAGGTCTTTTACTTTAAGGGGGGGTCTAATTTTTTTGAGTTCTCTGTAATTCTGGATGTTAGTCCTCTGAGGTGTAGCTGGCAAAATATTTTATCATTCTATAGGATGTCTCTTCACTCTGTGGGTTATTTCCTTTGCTGTGCAGAAGCTGTCACATCTCGGGGTTATGAAGCGCACCATATCAGCACAGCAACTGGGAATTGTAAACTTATACCAGTAAAGAATTAGAAATATTAAGTTTAGAAGGGAGAATAGAAGCACTTTATTTGAAAGAAGGAAGAGAAGCAAGGGACAGACAGTTACCTTATAAGAAGGAAGGGGGTCTGGACCTGCATGTTTGTGGGCCCATTGTTTTAAGATGTTTTTATAGGGCGTCAAGGGCCCTACTCCCTGCCTGGAATTTGTCATAATCTGATTAGGTTCCTGGTGTGTCATAGGTGAATCCCAGGCCCCAAGATCCCTAATTGCTGTGCCATCATCCTTCTGGCTATTTTTAAGTGAGCTTGTCAGAGTCTTATCTTAAAATTTACAGGTTTACTAAAAAGGACTTTATATATAAGGTTGAGTTAGCAATTAAGGGGGCTGGTGTTCTCATATAGTGGCCCTAGAGTGGAATGAATATATATAGCTTTCTTTTAAGTGGCTGCCCCTTGTCTGTTGCATTTTATTGGAGGTGGGTGAGGGGCGGCTATCTTGGTTTTGAGCACCTGGCTTCCTTGTGCTCTGCCTGTCTGCCTCTCTTGTCCTGGTAATTGCTTTCTGCGGTGAAGCTTTAACTTTTTTTTGGTCGGGATTAGCCAGAAAGCTCAATGAGGCTTTTCCCTATTTATAGACCTTTTCCCCTTACAAAGTTTTTAAATTTCATGAAATTAAATTGACTATTGGTTCTTTGTGTTATCTGTTGTGCAACTGGGGTTCTGTTCAGAATGTTCTTGCCTATGCCTAAGTCTCCAAGAGTTCTGACTATTTCCTCTTTCAGCATATTGCTTCCGTTTTAATATCTAGGTCTTTGATTCATTTTTCTTTGATTTTAGTTCATAATGAGAGATATGGGTCTAGATTCAATCTTCTGCATATGGGTAGTCAGTTTTCCTAGCACTATTTGTTGAAGGGGCTATCGTTCTCCAGCATATGTTTTTGGCCTCTTTGTCAAAGATAAAATAGCTCAATGTGCCTGGGGTTCTTTCTGCATCCTCTCTTCTGTTCCATTGATCCACTTTTCTGTTTTTGTGCCAGTAGCGTACTCTTTTTATCACAGTGGCTTTGTAATATATCTGAGATCGTGATGCCTCCTGCTTTGCTCTTTTTTCCCAGGATTGCTTTTGCTATTCAGGGTCTCTTCTGGCTCCATATAAATTTTAGGATTGTTTTTTCTAGTTCTGTGAAGAATATTGTTGGTATATTGATTGGGATTTCATTAAATCTATAAATCAGTTTTAGTATTATGGCCATTTTGATAGTATTAGTTCTGCATAACCAGGATCAGGGGATGACTCCACTTTCTGGTATTGTCTTTGATCTTCTTTCTCAGAGTAGAGGTCTTTCACTTCCTAGGTGATGTTAATACTTAGGCATTTAATTTTCTTGAATTTATTGTGAACACTATTGTTTTCTTGATTTCTTTCTTAATGTATTCCTTGTTGGTGTGCAGAAATGCTTTTAATTTTTAATGTGTTGATTTGTATCATGCTACATTGCTGATGTTATTGGTTCTAAGAATCAGTGGAATTTTTTAGGTCTTCTACATATAGGATCATGTTATCTGTGAATAAGGAAGGATAGTTTAACCTCTTCCTTTCCTCTATGTATTCCTTTTTTTTCTTTCTCTTGCCTGATACCTCTGACTAAAGTTTCTAGTACTCTGTTGAATAAGAGTGATGAGAGTAGATAACCTTGTCTTGTTCCTGATGGAAAGTTTTCATTTCTGCACAATTTAGTATGATGTTGACACTAGGTTTGTCATAAAAGGCCATTATCAGGTTGAGATAAGGTCCTTCTACTCCTATTTTCTTCAGGGTTTTTATCATAAATGGATGTTGGGATTTGATCAAAGGCATATCTGCATCTAATAAGATGATAATATGGTTTTTGTTCTTTCTGTTTATGTGCTGTATTACATTTGCTGATTTGCATATGTTGAACCATTCTTGCATCCTGGGACAACTTGGTCATAATGTATATGATCTTTTTGATGATTTGTTGTATTCTTTTTACCAGTATATTTTTGACAATTTTTGCATCTATGTTCATTTAAGAGATTGACCTGTAGTTTTACTTTTTGGTAAGTCCTGGTCTATTTTTGGTATCAGTGTAATGCTAACTTCCCGAAATGACTTTGGGAGTATTCTTACTCTTGATTTTGTTAAAGTTTGAAGAGTATTGATGTTAGATCTTTCCTAAAGTTCTTGTAGAATTCAGTGGTGAGTCCACTGGGTCCTGGGCTTTTCTTAGTTAAGTTTTCTTATTATTGCCTTAATTACATTGCCTGTTATTGGACTGTTTGGTATTTTTATAACTTCTAGGTTCAGTTTTGGTAATTCATTTACATCCAGAAATCTTCATTTCTTCTAGATTCTTCTATTAGTGTACAAAGTCACAAAGTAGCTACTTATAATCCTCTGGATTTGGGGAGTTTCCATTGTTATTTTGCCTTTTCCTTTCTAATTGCATTGATATGGGGTTTTTTTTTTCTTCTTTTGGTAAGTTTGGCTAATGTTTTGTGTCTTTTGTTTATCATTTTGTGGGTTTTTTGTTTTCTTTTCTGTTTTGTTTATCCTTTTGAACAACCAACTCTTCAATTCATTGATTCTTTGTATTTTTTTTAGTCTCAGTTTCATTAATTTCCATTCTGATCTTTATAATTTCCTTCCTTGTCATAGTTTTAGGTATTGATTATTCTTATTTTTCTAGGGCCTTGAAGTGTATTATTAAGTCATTCATTTGGGATCTGTCTGTTTTTCTGATGTGAGCATTCACAGTTATAAACTTCCCTCTTAGAACTGCTTTCATTGTGTCCCATAGTTTCAGGAATGTTTCACTGGGTACTGTTTGATTCTAGGAAGTGTTTGATTTTTTTCTTTGATTTCCTCTGTGACTCTTGGCTATTCAAAAGTGTACTGCTTAATCTCTATGTGTTTACATAATTTCTATGGGTTATCTTACTATTGATTGTATTGATCTGATAATATGCCTGGGATTATTTTGATTCCTTTGTACTTATTTAAGAAAGATTTATGGCCTCATGGTCTATTTTGGAGAAAGTTCCATGTGTTACTAAGAATGTTGTTGTTAGGTTGAACACTCTGTAAGTCCACTTATTCAAAGGTATGGTTCAACTCTGATAGTTTTTGTTATTTTTTTTGTCCAGCTGATCTATTTGTGAAAAATGGGGTGTTGAGGTCCCCTACTATGACTGTGTTGATGTTTATCTCATCTCTTTTGTCCAGTACTATTTGTTTTATGAAGTGGGGTGTACCGGTGTTCAGTACATATGTATTTATCATTGATATCTCTTCCTGTTTATTTGTTCCCTTTGCCAGTATATAGTGACCTTCTTTGTCTCCTTTGATCATTTTTAGCTTGCAGTCTACTTTGTGTGAAAATAGGATAGCTATTCCTGCTTGTTTTGGGTCTCTGGTTGCATGGAATATTCTTTTTCATCCTTTGATTTTTAATCTGTGCACTTTTTTTAAACTATTAAGTGTGTTTCTTGTATTCAGCACATCTGGGTTTTTTTTAATCCATTCTGATGATGTGGCTTTCATTTTAAAGGGTTCCCTCATTCTGCAGTGAGAGGCTATTCCAGAAAACCTGTCAGGAAATTATTTTGACTTGGACTGAAATGGTAATAGTGGAAGTGATGGGAAGGGGTCAGATTCTAAATACATTTTGAAAACAGTGTGAGGAAGATTTCCTCACATTGTATGGAGAGGGGATAGGGATTGGCTTAAGATTCCAATGCTTTCCTCCTGAAGAACTGAAAGAAAGTAGTCATCAATGCCTGAGTTGGAAGACTATGAGGATAGAGGACAGAAAGCATAGGGGAACACAAGTGTATTTTTGGTTTTTGTTTTTTTGGGTTTTTTTGGAAAGCAGATTTTTGAGGAGAGCACAAATCAGATGTTTAGATGTAAAATAAATTATTTTTCTACTGTGCAGTTCACTCAAAATTCCAGGGTAGTTTGTCTACCTCTCACATTTGCTTTCCCAATCCCATGAATTTAATCAAAATTTTACTAAATTGCAATTGAGTTAAACATTGTGAATGATTTCAGATCAATGACTGTTTGCTTCTATTTTTTTGAACTTATAGTTTGTCTAATATATAATTGGAAGTTTCTTTCAAGAGTAGTAATTTGAGAAAACTGTAATTACTCAGGCTCTGGTTCACATTCGTATGCATGCTCTAGTGGCATGGAAACTAATAAAATCCAGTATTTTTGTTTAAAATAAAATATCCAGGTCTCAGAACCTCACTTAGTAATGTACTGAACAAAGTTATCTAAAGCTTAAATAACCTTTATATACATATTGTGAACAGCTGTTAGAACGTGATGACATAGCATAATATGTGAAACTAAGTAATTATTTGCTATCAATGTTTAAACCTCATAGTTCCATCAAAAATGGAAAAGTGAAAGAATCTTAGTAGTTGTAGTTGGTAGAAAATTAGATTCTTAGGAGAGAAATTTTCTAACCCTGAACAAGATTACTGCCATCTTAATGGATCATCTTTTTTCTGTTATACTGAAGAGAGTGGAGGTAGCCTCAGAATTTGCAGTTTCCAACACATTTTTTGCCAGAAATTCAGATTTACCTGGAAGGGTTTGGGGCCAAATGATAGATTTGGAAACATCCAAGCAAATAGAGGATCATGATGATGTCTACACAGAAGGTAAGAGAATGCATTATTAGCTATGATGTTAAAAGTTCTTAAAGTATTACACATAGTGCATTTCAAAGTACAGAATGGAAGCTTTTCTTAGTCTTGCTCTTAATTTTTGTTTCTACTGTTCTGAAGGCAATTTGCTCTGGAGTTAACTCCATTATTACATGTAAGGGCATATTTCAAGCTCATTCTGTTTCTTAAACACAATTAGATACATCCATCCACCTAACTCCTGGACGTTTGTCCCCCGCACTCCTCTCCAGCCACACTGGCTTCATTGCTATTTCTCCAACACTCTGGACACTCCCACTGTAAGACCTTTGCACATGCTTTTCCTCTGCGTGGTATAATATTCCTTATATGTCCGTATGGCTCACTCCCTCCCTTCCTTTGGTCAGATATCTTCTCCATGAGGCACTCTTTGACTACCTAGTTTGCAACTACAATACCCATCTTCCATTTCTAGACTCCATTTCTCCTTTCCCTGCTTTGTTTTTCTCATATTTATTTTTTTTCTCTCTTTCCCAGTTAGAATGTAAGCTTCAAGTTTATTTTTCCAGTTTTCTTCCTTGCTATATTCCCAGCATGTAGAATAGTCCTTGATACATGACAGATGTTCAAGTAATATTTATTGAAAAAAATGAAGACAGTGACTAAAGAAATTGAAATATTTAAAAGATGTTTTTGTTTTATTGATAGCTCAGGAGCTAGTCAATGACTGGTTAGGCACCAAACTTAAGCAAGAATTAGCAAGCGATGGAGAAGAGGGTGCTGAAAACACTATTTCAAGTGCTGCTCCTGGGCCAGAAGCCAAGGGCCATTGGGAATATGACAGATTTGATGGTAAGACCTTACCTGATTGTTCAAAGCTTTATCATCTAACACATGAGTCTAATGTTTGTAAAATTGCTTTGAATAATAAATGATATATTTGACTTTTCTGTGTTTTGTTTAGTTTTATTATTGGCTTTAGTTTTTCTTGATTGAATATAATTCTTACACTATATCCTTGACAAATTTACAGTTTTTAAAAATCAAAATATTCTGCTATTTGTAATTTTGCTTATGATAATAATACCAATTAAAAATACCTCTTGCTCCTATATCATTGGATGACTTTGATGTAAACTACATTTAAACATTAATATATCATTTTATATTTTTTAAATGATTCATATCTTTATTATTTATAAGGGAGGTTATTACCTTTCTTCTGTCTTTCCTCTACTTTTGTACAAAGTGAGGGTCAGATAAGTTAAATAGCTAACTTGTGAGGGCTCTGTATATGCACTCAAGGATCTGAGGGTTTTTTTCTCTGAGCATCACTCTAGGCTGGTGATAGTGGGGGCAGCTCTCAGGAATGACTCAAATTTTCTTTATGAAGACAGCTAGCAGCATTCCCCTCACTCAGGGCTACAGAATCTCCAGCTAGGTATTCACATAGTCATAAGCTCTGAAAGTTAGAAGAATCCTTTAAGATTGCATAGTCTAATACACTTTCCTCACCTACCCAGATAGACATTCATCTATATTATGAAGCTCTAATTCTCATAGAATTGTCCCTCAGAAGAATTAGAATTTTGATCTCAGTAACTTTTTAGTGCAACAGAAAATATGACCTCTCTCTCTCTCAAGAACAGTATTTTTATTTTGGGGAAGTTATAATCATATCTAACCATATTCTTCAATGTTCCCAGACTAATAGTACCAGTACTATCAGCGATTCTTTATGCCATATAATTTATAGATCTTAACGTCCTGGTTGTTGCCTTCTGGACATTTTTTAGCTTACTAGTGCCGTTAGTGCTGTTATTAAAATGAAATGTTTCAGTATTTCATATTTGTTCTGAAACAAACCTATAAAATATAGTGACACTATTACTGCCTTTGATAGAATGCTAATAAATAGTTCTTATATCCCTTCACTTGGATTGCTGGGTGTCATATCAAGCCTCAGTCATCTTATCCTGGTAGAAGTGGGGTTTTTTTAATGGTCAAAATATTGAACAAAATACTTTGTTAAAAACGATGTTTACCCCCCCCAAAAAATAATATGTAATTATGTAAGTACACGTAGAAAAAAAAGCACCTACAAAATCTAACACCTACTTCTTCTAGATTATTTTTTTTTTGGTACCAGGGATTGAACCTTTTGAACCTTGATACCAGGGATTGACCTTCTGCTTGCAAGGCAGGTGGCGGCTCCACCGACCTAAATCCCTGGCCCCTAAAATTTCATTTAGTTTTTTTTTTTGGTCTAACATCAACTTCTGAAAAAAACTTCTCAAGGATAATTCTTTGATAAAAAAATAAGATGTATACAAAACAAATATCAAAATGACAAACATAAAACTACTTTATCAGAAACACATTAAATATAGACCCCTGCCAGCAGAGAGGAGGTGAGCTGGTCCCAGCACACAAGAGGAGGGTTCCAGGCCGCCGTACCACCCCCGCCAGCAGAGAGAAGGTGAGCCACGTGGGCGCCAGCAGCAACCCCCCACACACACCGTCCAAATGAGAAGACACATAAACAAGTCTAAAAACCAGACTTCCAGATCACCTACAACAACCCCAAAAGAAAACGAGATGGAACACTCTGATACTCAACCACCTGGACTCCCTGAACTGGCAACAAAAGAGGATCTGGAAAAAATGAAATCAGAAATAA